CCAGTTCATTTCGAAGGGTTTCTACAGTTCGGATAAATCCCTCTTTCTCCATGGCCGCTGAATTTTTCATGGTCTGCCTCTTGTCAATGTTCACCATGTTGAGTATTTGCTTACTACTGTTGTCCATGGCTGTATATGTGCAGTATTGTGCACTAAACCCAGGACTGTCCATTCTTGCATCGCCTACATAGAGGAAAGATGAAAAAAAAAGAAATGAAGAAGTTCAGATGCAAAAGCCTCTAAATGCCATTTGAAATTTTCTTCTTTAATGATGATTTTTATCAAACTTGTATATTTAAGTTCAGTAATTTCACTTAAATAACAATTAATAGGTAATTATCATTGCCATTTTAGTGAACTGAGTGAACTATGTAACCATAACCAGCATCTAAACAAGGATATTAATAATGAACAATCTTTGAAATCGTACACATTAACTTTAAGTGTTTAATGTCTGCTGTTCCTCTCTTGTCCTCTGTATCTGTTTTCCAGGAGGAACCAGGTGATTTGTCAGGAGTCCCCGAGGAGTACTTCGATTTGCGAGTGGTCTTCAGTCGTGCCCGGGCCGCTTCTCTTCCTCCGCACCGTCCTTATGATTGTTGCATTGATCTTCTTCCAGTCTCCGCCTTTAATAGACTGCCTTTAATACCCCCCTCGGGCACTTTGAATACCGAGTTTTACCTTTCAGCCTGGTCAACGCTAACCACCGTCTTTCAAGCCCTTGTCAACGACGTTCTCAGAGACATGCTTAACATTTTTGTTTTCGTCCATCTCGATGACATTTTAATTTTTTCCCCGTCTCTCCAGGTTCATGTGCAACACGGTCGTCAAGTCCTTCAATGACTTTTGGAGAATAAATTGTTCGTGAAGGCCGAGAAATGCTCGTTCCACACCCAATCCGTTACCTTTCTCGGTTCGGTCATTTCAGCCCAGGGTTTTAGTATGGATCCTAACAAGGCTCGCGCTGTCACTGAGTGGCCTACCCCTGACTCTCGGGTCTCGCTTCAGCGGTTTTTAGGGTTCGCCATTTTTTATCGACGGTTTATTCTGAACTTCAGTCAGGTGGTAGCCCCTCTAACCGCACTAACTTCTTACAAGACCCGTTTTTGTTGAAGTGACGCCGCGCAGGCAGCCTTTGATCGCCTCAAATCCTTGTTCTCGTCCGCACCTATTCTCATCACTCCTGACATTTCCACACAGTTTATTGTGGAGGTTGACACCTCGGAGGTGGGAGTGGGGGGTATTCTCTCCCAGCAATCGCCCACTGACAAGAGAATCCACCCCTGCGCTTTCTTTTCACACCACTTACCCCCGCAATTACCACGTGGGTAACCACAAACTTTTGGCCATTCGTCTTGTATTATGACATACAACTTGTGTACAATATATAGCATGTGTTAACAATATGTTCAATGTCATCACAATACAAATAAGAAAATAAATAAAAAAAAGATCTAGATCTAGATATTAATCTATACATCAGTTACACTATACAAATAGTTTCATAGTTTAAATTTTCATAAGAAAAGTTTCCTAAAAATGTTAGGTAATGTATGGCACTGACATAGAGATATATAAAACGGATATTTTAACAGATTTTTATAAATAAAAAATTAAAAATAAATAATTTATTTGCAACCGTTATGTTAATCATGATATTTCTGTCGTCAGAACAGCTATACAGCTGATGGACAAAGTGCTGCGTTGTCATAGGAACATCCTAGCTAGCTGGTTAAGGATGAGTGCTACCAGAATGGTGTGTCGATTAGAACACAGGAATGAGTCCAGAAGTTACTTCTCAGTTAATTTATTGCCATTTGCTTTCTTTCTTGGTTCTCCCATTTCTTTCATATGACTTTACAATTGCTGCATATTGCTGGTGTCTACAATCAAACAAACTTAACTTTACTGATACAAATTACATAAATATATATTCACATCATCACCATAAAGAAAATCATTAAACAAATCAACAGTTATAAAATTAATATCAATACAGAAAGTTTAAATGAACTTACAAAGTCATAGACGCAGCAAACACATGCAGCAAGCAGAGGAGCAAACAGTCAGCACAAAGAGAAACACACTAGTGAGGGTGATTGGTAAGGTAATTATCCTCAGGTGAAGGAAGCTCAAGGAAGTGGGCGTGTCTCCCAATACAATGACTAATTGGGATTTCCAACACTAGGTAAAAATAATTACATTACGTTGTCTGTTGTTGCTCCCTTCATCAAGTTCCAAACGGCTACATAAATGACACACTAGTGTCATGCTCACGCCAAATTCACTCTTGAAGAGCTTTGCCGTCTGCCTTTTGGGAGTAGGGCATAGGGAAGCTCACGTGCAGTTTGGTCCGTCACTTATTTGGTTCCCCGGAAACATTTCCGTTGTGCTCTGTGTTACTTGCAGCGTTTCTGTATTTGGTTGTGTTGTGAGGTTTTGCAGCGCGTTTTGTGTATTTGGTTGTGTTGTGAGTACTTGGAGCACACGTGTGTTGTGGAACTGATGAAGATGTTTTTCTTAATTTGCGGATGTTTTTTTGTATTTGCATGCGTTTTTATATTTGCACACGTTTTTTTGTGTTTGCATGCGTCTTCATCAGGTTGCAGCGCGGTGAGCTCTCTCGGCCACCGTAAAGCCGCAATCAAGTGTACATCAAAAATGTGACCTGGACCATTAAACCAGTCACATGGGTCACTTGTTTAAAACATGAAAGCTGATTTAATACGCTTTCCATTGGTGTATGGTTTGTTAGGATAGAACAATATTTAGCAGAGATACAACTTTTGGGATATCTGGATACCGAGGGTGCAAAAAAAAATCGAAACACTGAGAAAATCACCTTTAAAATTGTCCATTTATGTTCGCGATTGTGCTTTACTCACAAAAATAAATGTTTTATATATTTACAATCAAACATTTGCAAAATATTTTCATGGAACATGATCTTTACTTAATATTCTAATGATTTTTGGCATAAAAGAAAAATCTATCTTTTTTGCCCCATACAATGTATTGTTGGCTATTGCCACAAATATACCCTTGCGACTTATGACTGGTTTTGTGATCCAGGGTCACAAATGTGTAAAATAAATAAATAAATAAATAAAAGTTAAAATCTTGTTTTTCATGCCCTAGAAGGTCAGCTAATTCAACTTTACTGAAACTGTATGTATATTAGTAATGCCTTTAGAATGATGTAGTAATAGGGCTGCACGATATATATCGCAGGATATTGTTATGCGCATCTAATCAGTAAAGCCGGTTCCTTGATTAATAGTAAATCACCTTCACCTGCTTTCAGATGGAGCAGTATTTACTACAGTACGTTATCACATTCTTTCTGGTCTTGTCCAAAATTGTCAAACTTTTGGGGGAAAATCTTTAAATGCATTTCTGTCATTTTTCTTTAACCCTCAGGTGCTCTTCAGTCATTTCTGACCGAAAAATGTTCTGTTTTGAATTTCTAAAAATCACAGCTTCATCGGAATGTTACGAAACTTGGTGACTTTTATGGCATTATGTATGTGAACACACACAAAAAAAAATTGAGGTCATGATCTGAGCATGTGAACTATATATTCAAATGCACCAAAAAAAAAAAAAAATGCTTCTCCATAGAGAGCTGTACATGCCATCTAGTTGTTACACCATGATTCGACACTTTTTCTCTATACTGTAACCAGATGGTGCTAATTTTCTTCAAATTTTTTTTTTCTGAAGGCCTAGACTCTATATTAAACTAAAATACTGCATTAATATTTTTTTGAAAAAAAAAATATATATATAGAAAAATATATATATTTTTCCATGGCAAAATAGACCATAAATATTGCATAAATATTAATAAATTTAATCAAATTGTCTCAAAATACTAAATTACAAAGAATAAATATTATAGAACAAAAATAAATTGCATTGGTTTTACTGGGATGGAGGAAATTTAATTTTTAGGTGTCCGGTCACTTTTGACCGGGAGGATAAGTGTGACTCCGAAACGAAGACCACCTGAGGGTTAAAAATAGACCTCAACCCGTTCACAATACTATTTGGTATCCTGCCAGAGCCTGTTCATCTAAACACATTGCAGGCTGACAGTGTTTGGAACTCTACTGGCCAGGTGACTTATTCTTATTCAATGTTTTTGACCTTTTGTATGCTCTTAGGATGGAAAAGATTCGGTTCTCAATGAAAAAAAAGCCAAAATTATTTCTGAAAGTGTGGGGCTCCTTTCTGGAGTACTTTAAGGACTCAATAACTACATAATTTTGGTGATTTGTTTTAATTAATGCATGTTACATCACAAGTATATATGTATCTATATTACTTACACTGTACTACATGCTATTGTTACTCTCAGACCCAATATGAAGCAAATAAAAAGGAAAAAAATGTGTTCTCCATATACAACAAAGGTGTTTTTGGATCACAAACGGCCAACAGCACCTGGAGCCTGGACCTCAACACCTGAAGGGATTGCTCTGACTCCATCTAGTGTTCAAAGAAGTATACTACAAGATTGTTTTTCTAAACTTTGAGTAGCAAATCTTAATTTATTTATTTTCAGATAAATGCTGTTTTGTTTTGTTTTTCTCCAGAATATGGATTTGATGTGTAACTTTCATAATAAACTGTGGAACACACACACGCACACACACACACACACACACACACACACACACACACACACAAAGTAAATACACACTTTTCTTAGGAGGGCCATTTTATATGCACACAGATTGGAGTTTTGCATGATCTCTACTTAAAACAAAAACAACTGTCGCTTATAGGTCGCTATTGTAGCCTACTGGGACTGGGAGTTTCTTTAGTCCTCATCTGAGATCCTATTGGTCCCTGTAAGTTTGAGAACAAGAGCATCTCCTTTCCCATGGGGAAAAAAACACAAAAAAAGTTGGACTGTTTAGTCTTAAAAGGATGAAAAATAAAGAGGTGGAATGTGCACACGAACGCGCTTAGAGGACAGCGAACAAGAGAGAGGAGAGATACCAAAACTGACGATGCTTCTGACAGACTGACGCTGAAAGACTCGGGTCATTTGAGCTCTTGTCAGAATGCAGGGAATCAGCACGCGCGCTCACGCGATTTCTGTGGATGAATCAGGGGAAAGTTGCAAGAAGATGAAGGTGGAAAATATGAAGAATGAGAAATTGCAGTATGTCTTGGAATATGACAGAGATACACCGAGAACAACTTTCATCGACCCACAGGGTTAGTGGATCTTTTTTGAAGGAGGGAGGGGACATTTTAGCATTGTTTGACAGTTGTTTTACTTATATTTATATTAGCCTACCATTTGTGTAAACTTGTTTTGATTACTTGTGAAGTTCAGCGAAACAACAGGAAGAAAAAACGCGTGAAGCTCAGAAAACCTGCAGGGACCGCATGTGAAGCTGCGAGAGAAGTTCGGGTAGATCTTCAAGGATCTGACCTGTGGAAGAAATTTCACGAGATCGGCACAGAGATGATCATCACAAAAGTTGGGAGGTAGATGGCAATATAGGCCCCATTATAGTTATTTAATACAATTTAACCTGGCAGCAAATCAGTATATTACAGCGACAGCTAAATTAAATGAGCTTGTGAAGAATTATGCCAAACCGGTTTCACTCTGATTTAAATGTTGTATTTTAGTCCTGTGAAACACAGTGTTAAAAAAAGCCAAGTTTAGCATACAACGTTGAAATCTTGAGAGAGTGCAGGGCCAAGTGGTAAGATTAGACTATAGTCTATTTATGTTTATGTTGATATCATGTTTATATCATATTGATATTATATTATGTTTATATTTAATAGTAGTTAGGGCTGGATCCTCGTTACAAAGAATCTACACTACTACAACTACAAATGGACTACACTATACATTTTTATTCATTTAGCTGATGCTTTTATCCAAAGTGACTTACAATTTCTTCTATATATGTCAGAGGTCGTACGCCTCTGGAGCAAGTAGGGGTTAAGCGTCTTGCTCAGGGACACATTGGTGTCTCACAGTGGATTCGAACCCAAGTCTCTCACACCAAACACGTGTCTTATCCACTGTGCCATCACCACCCCTATACAACTTTTAACAGTTTTTAACCAGCTAAATCACTAGGCATTGTAGACTTGTCGACTTTGTGGTCACAGAGAAAAACTGGGCATCATGCATGGCTTAGGTTCACACACCACACAATCAAGTTACACAATATAGCAAAGAGGTGTGTGTTTCTGTGAGTTTATTGTGCTTAAAATGACTTGACAGTCTGGTAGTGTGTTATCCTTATCTGTTTAGTGTATGATGCCCTGTTTTTCTCTGAAGCAAACCATTTATAAAATCTGTGAATTAAAAGTATATTAGGCCTAGTCTTTTAAAATCCGTTCAGATTTTAAAATGTAGTGTATTCCAGTCTACGGAGCTCCAAAGGGGTGGAATGTCAGATGGAAGGAAAAATAAGAGACAAGAGAACGCAAAAGCACTTCCAAATAATTTTTTATACCATCTAATTTTTCTTCACCATGTTCCTTTAGGGGCTCCGTATTCTTTTGATGGCCAGTGACTGGATAAACTCATAGTCTGAAGCTAAATTTGTGCCTTTCATACACCATGTGATTTTATGTGAAATCTGTCAACTTCTTATAAAAAAAAAATCTGCAGACTCTTTCAGCTTCTAGAGTCAAGTTATCCATAATGCAAAAGGGGCAAAAGTTTGTGTAGCCTTTATTTTGACCTACATTAACTCTATATTTGAAAACCTTAAGACTATGAATATTTGTATCTGTAATTAGCCAAACAGCTGTAATGATTTTATAATGTCAGTGTTGCTCTCCTCAGGAGAATGTTCCCCTCTGTCCGTGTCAATGTGCACAATCTGGATCCCCTGCAGCAATACTCCATTGCCATGGACATCATGCCTGTGGACTCAAAGAGATACAGGTATACTGTGGTCTGTCCTGCAGTCTGAAATGATTCATTAAACACAACATGAAGGTCAAAATAACATAAATAAAAGATTGACACAGATGATATAGATAAGCTGTATCGTGAATTATTCAACTATATGCACTTGCTTCAAATGATTAAATCATGTATTGATTAGATTGAATAATACTTATTGTTCTTATCTTCTATGTTAGGTATGTGTACCACAGCTCTCAGTGGATGGTGGCTGGAAACACTGAACATTCACGCCTCTCGCCTCATCTGTATGTCCATCGGGACTCACCGCGTTCAGGAGAGAACTGGATGAGACAGGGGATTAGCTTTGATCGTGTCAAACTCACCAACAATGAGATGGATGACAAAGGCCATGTGAGTTCCCTACACTACAATGTATTCAATTGACAATTACGCTTATATATAAATACAAAATGTGTCCAATGTCATTTGAATTTCAGATAATCCTGAAGTCCATGCACAAGTACAAGCCACGCATACACGTTATTCTGCACAGTCCTCTTGAATGCGTGTCCCAGACTCTACTGTCACTGCCAGCGGAGGGTGTGTACACCTTCTCCTTCCCTGAGACTCAGTTCACCACTGTCACAGCCTACCAAAATCAACAGGTAACAGTTCTATATTTTATCTTGGATTCATACAAATGGAAATTTTTAGCTTCATTTGGTTCTGCATTTATGTAGGAAAGTCGAGTCCATAAGTCTGGGATTACTCTGAAATTTGAGGGTTTTTTTGATGTATAAAAAGTCTAAAAAAAACAGAATTTATTATAAATATAACTTTTTGTAATATTTTTTAATTTCACGAATGTCCTTTGATAATTTAATGTGCCTTTGCTAAATAAAATAATTAATTCCTTTATTTTTTTCTTTTTAAAGTTTAAAATTTTGAATGGTAGTGTATCATGATTTCAAAAAAAAAAAAAAAAATTATGCCGTTAAAACTGTTTTCAACGTTGATAATAATAAGAAATGATCTCAGAATGATTTCTTAAAGATCATGTGGCAAATTACATTTTAAAATATATTACAACAAAAAAACAGTTCTTTTAAATTAGGATAGTATTTCACAGCATTACAATTTTTATAATTTTTATTACCCTTATAATCTTTAATCAAAGACATTACCCTTCCCTCCCCCATCAATACGACCTCTCTTCTATTTCGGTCACGTGCCATGGCGAAAGGTTGCGGCCAGATCCGAAGAGGGTGCGGCTATCGGAGAATCGCATTCAAATCTGCCTCCATTTTGTTTGCAACACCCAACCTCCAACGATCCGATCAATTCCCGAAGGACGAAATCAAGCCCTGCTGTACATTTTTTTCTAATTTCAGAAGCCTTTTCACTCGAATATACGTCACGACAAGGAAAAAACGTACAATCTCAACTTCCGTTTCACGCCGACTTTAATGCTCCTAAACTTTTGACCGGTAAATTCGCCTCCAAGTCACCAAAACGCAAAATAGTTATAAATTGCCATGAGTGTGTTGAATCAACAGATTTCAATTGTCCATATACATAAGTTGTACAAATCTGACATTAAAGGTGCTATATGTAATATTTCTTCTAAAATGAATGCTTTTTTTTATTGCCTGTGTGTGAAGGGGTTATAATCACACATTACAATGATCCGCTTGTCGGGTTTTGCCATTACCTCTGAAGGCCAGTATTCCTTTTTCTATGTGAAGTCTCCGGATCACATTTTCGGTGAAATCCAATGGATATGACGTGTATGCGCGCTCCTGAGCCTCTCTCCTTTTTATATACAGTCTATGCGACTGATAACTCTAAAACACACTCCTGCCTCCAGCACAACACACACACAAAAAAAATGTATCTGCTGAAGCTCGTCAGGCCAAACGTGAATCGAATCGACTTGGGACGAAAACATGGATCAACATCGGCAGAGCATTTGAATTATGCACAGACCTCCATTATTTTTATTGTGATAAATTACAAGTTTTCAGATATGCTAAAATAATGGTAAACTATAATGAAATAGCAAGGTAAACTACAACATAATGAGACATGAAATGAACTCAAAAAACTGTTCCAGGATAACAAAAAGTAGGTGCTTTAGGATGTAACTTTTATTTTATGTACTAGATCTACTGTCTAACGTGACTCATCCCACTACTAACATATTGTTTATACACATTTCCAGACACGTTCAGTACAGTAATGTTACTTCCTACGATCTTACTGTTGCACTAAAATTGTTCAGTCTAGTTCACTTACTGTTTCCGTTATCATATTATACATTTATCTATGTTGAGATTGCTGATTGTGAAAGATACACGAATAGTTAGTGAAATGCCTTATGCTAGATAACACCACAAGTGTAACGGTATCATTGTATGAGCATTAGGGGTGTAACGGTACACAAAAATCACGGTTCGGTACATACCTCGGTTTTAAAGTCACGGTTCGGTACGTTTTCGATACAGCAAAAAGAAAGAAATGCCAGAGAAATTTCCTATTTGCTTAAAGAAAAAAATATTTTTAAATAAGCGTGAGTTTTCCTAGATCTTGAAACTTTCAGGTTTATAAATGGGGGTCATCTTTGAAGGATGAACAAATAATGTTTTGGTCATCACATTAAAAATAACATTTAAATTAGATAATGTTTGAATTTTGAAGTGCTGGAAAAAGATGTGTGAAGTACTTGAAAGCATTTCACCATTCCAGCCAAACTGGTTCCAGTTAGTGTTACTATATTAAATCCATGGTGAATGTTGCCGGTTTGTGGACGAAAGTATTACTAGTTCATTCACGGCACAATGTTTCTCCTGGTTTCCATGACAGCGCTGTTTGATCTAATAGAGATCTACGGTTAATAAAGGAGAAATGTGAATGCTTCTCACTAGATCTCGCAGCGATGTTATTACCTCAGTGGCAAATTCAAATGTTTTCTTTACCGGATCTCTTAGCGCGGTGTGGTAACAGTGTTGCTTGATGGACATCGGCTCGCGCTGCACAGATGTTGCTGGTCCGAACTGATAAACGATCCGTGAAGCACATAATGAGTAGCGCAGTTCTGCTTTCATTACGTTTGCCATTTGATGTTGCGCAACGTTGTGTTGGCCGCACCAGCGCGAATTTTGCCGTCAGGAAAAATGGTCCAAGCAATCGTTCGGTTTGTATGCGTACCGAACCGGAAGCCTCACACCGAAACGGTTCAATACCGAACACCGAAACGGTTCAATGGACATGTACCGTTACACCCCCTAATGAGCATGGGGCATTAGTTCAACGTCAAGCTGATAATAAAAGTCTATTATTATAACGCTGCAGTGGGAGTTTATATGAGTTTCCGGCATGTTGTGTGATGCTTTCTCCGGTGTGTTGAAAGCCAATAGCGGCTGCTAAAAAATACATATAGCACCTTTAATTTACTATTAGCAGACTATACTCTACCTTGTTTTCAATATTGAGCTAATGGTATTTTCTATTCCCTATCCCTAATCCTAACTCTTTCAGAAACTATTGAGCAGTTTTAGATTTGAATTAAAACAGTATGTATGTTTATTAACCTGTTTTACTTGTGGGGACTGGTGAATGTAGTTGATTTAAAGTTTAACTATCCTTGTGGGTTTACTCTACACATACTCTACAGCAAAAACCTCACCTATATTATAATTAGAATGATACCAAATAATGAATTCCTCCAAACAAATACTAAAAACCCTGGAACCTGTAATGCTATGTAAAAACATTCTGATTGAAGCACATCATATTACTTTGTAAAACAACATTTTCCCAGATGCACCTGTAAATCAGCAACATGAAATTACACTGAACCGTTTGGGAGTTATTTACACAAGAAACCACAGGACAGACTTTTCATCAAGGTCTTGTCTTAAAAGGATTGTTGTATTATTTATATTTCACTGACTGATTTCAATTGGGTTTACTTGTTAAGCACTGTAAACTTAATGGTCTATATATATATATATATGAAGAGTTCAGATGCAAAAGCCTCTAAATGGCATTTGGAATTTTCTTCTTTAATGAGGATTTTTATCAAACTTATATATTTAAGTTCAGTAATTTCACTTAAATAACAATTAATAGGTAATTATCATTGCCATTTAAGTGAAATTACTGAACTTAAATATACAAGCTTGATAAAAATCATCATTAAAGAAGAAAATTTCAAATGGCACTTAGAGGCTTTTGCATCTGAACTCTTCATATATATATATATACACACACACACACACACATATGCCTTTGTTGCCAAAGTTACTGATTGTGGGTTTTTTTTCTTTCTGGTACCTTTTAAGATAACAAAACTGAAGATTGACAGGAATCCTTTTGCCAAGGGCTTCAGGGAACGAAATGGGTAATGGATGTTATTATTTTTATAAACTATTGATATCACATACAGTGCATGGCATAAATGAGTTTGAAAATCAAGATTTCTTATCCATTTCTTAATGAATATGAGACCAATTTGCTGCATTTTAAAAACTGTTTTATTAAACATTCATTTGTATTAACGTAACACCTAACATCTTTAGCATAAGAAAAAAACAACAACTAAAAAACAAATTACACCCTACAACAAAGTCAATTAAATCTAATATTTTGTATGGCCTCCTTGATTTTTTAGAACAGCACCAATTCTTCTAGACATTGAATGAACAAGATGACAATATACAGCTACATCTATCTTTCTCCATTCTTGAGGATTTAATTCTTTCAGATTCTGGATGCTGGAGGGATTCAACTTGTCTTTTCAGAATATCCTACAAGTGTTCTATTAGGTTCAGGTCTTGTGACATGCTTGTCCACTGAATCACTTTTACCTCAGAAATGAACCTGTGACCTGTGTTGGGTCATTTTAGTGTTGAAAGAGTGCCCGGTGACCTTGAGCACAGAGTGATGGTAGCATCTTCTCTTTCAGTATTTCACAGTACATCTTTGAATTCAAGATGCCATCTATGAAATGCAACTCCCCGACTCCTGCAGTGCCACACATGAACACTGCCACCACCATGCTTTACTGTTGGTACCATGCATTTTTTATTGGACTCCTTACCCTTGCTACACCATGCAGTTTGGAACCCAACTGTGCTGGACTTTTATGGCGATTTTCTTCAAATTCTCTCATCACAAAACGCTCTTGACAAGGTGTTCCGTTTATGGCCTGGATGTCTCAGCGAGCTTCACACAAGTCCTTAAAGGGATAGTTCCCTTTGAAATGAATTTTTGATATGTTTTAGCTTACCTCAAGGGCATCCAAGATGTAGGTGTCTTTGTTTCCACAGTATTTTCAATTTAGATTTTTTTAGGTCAAACCGTTCTTGTCTGTCAGTCTTATAATGCAGGTCTATGGTCACCACCTCAAAGAGCATGCACAGAGAAGTCCAAATTAAACATGATTTAATGACTCGTAAATGTACACATTGATGACCTAAGACACGAAACGAGAGGTTTTTGTGAGAAAACGAACAGTATTTATATTGTTTTTTTACCTTTTGTAAGCACAGCCACCTCCAAGTGATCTGAGGGCGGGGCGCTTCGGTCTGTGCAAACGCCGGAAGTGATCTCCTCGCGCGTGTACGTGTAAATCTAGTAAAATACTGTTCGTTTTCTTAGGCCATCAATGTGTTTTTACATTTACGAGTCATTAAATCATGTTTAATTTGGACTTCTCTGTGCATGTTCTTTGAGGTGGTGACCATAGACCTGCATTATATGACTGACAGACAACAACGGTTTGACCTAAAAATATCAAAATTGAAAATACTGTGGAAACAAAGACACCTACATCTTGGATGCCCTTGAGGTAAGCTAAAACATATCAAAAATTAATTTAAAAGTGAACTATCCCTTTCATTTTTGGATCACTTTTGCAACATTATTCAAATGTATTAGAAATGCTTTACAAATTTTCTTACAACCTTGACCTTTTTTGTGCTCAGAAATAATTTTCTTTCTCAAGTCTTGTGACATTTCTTTTCCATGTGGTGCCATTTTGTCTGCATTTATATATGGGAGTGGATTTTATCTCTTAAAAACCCTTAATGGTCAATTATCCAGTGGCCACGTGTGTGAGGATTGACTTGACGCATCTACTGGTGAATTCCTGTAAATGTCAATTTTATTTAATTTTTTCTCCTAACGCATGTTCTCATTTTTGCTTGATGATCTTAAATTATTTTTTAGAATAGTTCCAATTTTGGCTTTGGTCTTGACTAATTCATTTCATTAATATTTCATTGTATAGAATCCCATAGAAAGTATTCATTTAAAATCGAGATGGGTGTTCGTTTATGCTGTGCACTGTATATTTGCATTAGATTAGCAGTTATTACATTAGCAGAATAATCTAATATAAAGACATTATAATAGTGGTATTTTATGGTTTTCAAATATCTGAATTATCACCCTCTCATTCTTCTACAATGCATTTTAGGGGCGTGCTGGGTGGGATTCTGGAGTCGTACTCATGGCACAGTCCCTTTAACCTCGATTTCAAATCTTTTGCTATGGAGCTACAAGGTTGGCATTTGTAATTCAGAATATTTCATTATTTTATTTCAATTTAAATGTTTTTTTCCCAGTAATGGTGACATGTTTTGATAGCTAAAATATTCATTACTAAGTGGTCCAAACAAGAGACACCATATATATATATACACTACTGTGCAAAAGTCTTGGGCACTTCACCTAAATACAATAGTTTTAGGCAGTTATTGAAATATTTTGCTGTAGTTTGTCAGTAGGAAATATCAGTTTACATTTTCAAAACATTCTTTTTGCCATTATTTGTAATAATCCAGTGAGATTTTTGTATGCTGAAGGAGTCTGACAACGACTGGTCTTATCTGAACTCACCATCATCGAGTCGATCTGGGATTGCATGAAAAAACCGAGATCCAGAAGAACTGCGGCAATGAGACATTGCTTGAAGAAACTTGCCTGCATAGCTACAGCTCTATGAAAAGTTTTAGACACTTGTGTAAACATGCTGTCATAAATTGATTTTACTTATCAATTAACCTTTGATCAATATTTAGTGTGACCAACCCTTTTTGTTTAAAACCACTTTTGCACATAGTTTTTCAGGTAGCTTTGCAGGAAGGTTTCTTCAAGCATCCCCGAGACGTTCCCGCAGTTCTTCTGGATTTATTCTTATTATTTTTTTCTATTTCTTCATTTAATCCCAGATGGACTCGATGATGGTGTGATCAAATCACTGTGTGCATGATTACAATTAAAAGTCTCACTAGATTATTTCTATTAAAGGCTTAAGTATTTTGAAATGTAAACTGATATTTTTACTGACACACTACAGCTAACTAATATTTATTTATTTTGTTCACTGCAGGCAGATGTTATGGATCATCAGCAAGCTTCGACATCACCTCATCAATGACATCCTTCCTGCCCAACTCCATTTCTCAAGCATCCCATCCCAACACATTCACAAGCCCTCAATGCTGCAAGATATTTCCTCCAAACAGTTTTCAAACATACTGCAACATTTGCCTGGGCAAACTCAGTAGTTATATTGGGTTGCGACCAATGTTAGACCTCCCCTTCATGACTAACAGAAAGAAAGGAGATATCTTCAGGAGTCACTGGCCCAATGATTCTACCAGCACAAGTACTTCTGTACGATCTATCCCCAACATTTCAGCTGGATGGACCTCCGGACACTATCAAGCTGAAAATGACAATATGGCTTCAGCCTTTGTGTCACCATACAGCTATAGTTTCCCCATGACATGCCAACTCTCTACTGTTGCTCATCATCTTAAACTGGCTCATGGTGAGAGCCCTGTATACCAAATGCCCATGATTTCCTCAAACTGTTACTGTCCCTGACTTCAAACCTGTCAAAACACATATTCTCGGCCCTCTTTACACCTGGGGCTCGTTCTTCGTACGTCGCTAACTCAGTTAGCTGGATTTGATTGTTGGCGATTTGCCATGATCTTGGATCGTTTGGTTCTTCGACGCTCATCCTGGACTTGCTGTCATAGCAACAGGTCCGTCAGCTTGAACCTGCTCGCGAGCAGGCTTATTTCATGTAAACAGGATTAGATCGCGGCTGATACGGAAGTCCTTCAGCGCAGCGCGATAGTGTGTAGCTTAATTTCTGAGATTTATTTTTGTTTTCTCGTGAAACGATCGTCGTGAGGGTGTCGTTTAAATACATTATTATTTTGTTGGAAATGCACATTAATGTTCGATTCGATATCGGGCTTCAACAACAGCACAAAATGTTTGCATTGCCCTAAAATTATTTGCGAGTGGCTTCCTTTACACTATTGGAGATGCGGAGAAGCTTTCTGTCATGCCATTCGCAAAGTAACGTTAGTGCTCTTAGTTTTTTTTTTTTTTTTTTTTTTTTTTTTGCCAACTTAGGGTAGGCTATATTATAATTTTTAATGAAGATAATGCAATCATGATGACCATGCCGATTATGACTTACAGTCCCTCAGGCTTAACTTACGTGATTGGTGCCATACACTGTAGACTACACACATGTTCCCATCAAGGCCTCAATGAAGGGATTTTGTGAGCATAAAGGGGGCTTATACAGTGCAGCCAAATTACTATTACAATTTTTAATATTCCAGATTTGGAATATTATATCACTTTTTTTAAAAGGCATTTGACTGAGTAAAATCTTTTAGATGGTGTGTGACCATGTTCTATATCACAAATCAGTGTGAAAGCAAAATGGCCAGGATCTGTGCATGACTCAAGAATTTTAAGAGATTCACATTTATGAACATTATTTGAACATGGTAAGGAAAATTATAAATATCAAACTCACGGTATTACATACACTTATGCTAAGAACTGCATTTTTCCATTAAACAGGTGATTACAACAGGATCCTGCATGGAGACAGGTGTTTTATGACCCTATTCCCTGACCCAAACCCCAGACCAGTTACAATGCAGCTCTAGGACAAGGGCACACAATGAAATGAGCTTTCTGCACACAGTATCACTGCTGTGTGCAGACTCTTCTGTAGGCCTTTCTGTACATGTGGACTCCTGTCAGAAATAACAGGCATAGGCACAAGTAGAAATCAATTAAAGCCATCAATTAAATTAAAGTTCTTCCTCCAAAGGACAGTCATCTGAGAAGTTTTCTTCACTCTCCAGTGCAATGTGATTGATAACTCATGGCAAAATATTTTTACATTAACATAAGTTTATCAGTTTTTACTTTCAAAAGACAAAGCAATTTATCATTACTCAAGATTTAACAGCTGAAATGACTAAACCAGCCAATTTGGATTATAGGTCTACTTCATTTAATGCAGCAACAAATTATTTCATAGTGTACAAAGATAATTTAAATCTCATTTCCCAGTGATGAAGGTGTTGCTGCTACTGGTCCCTGATGTGTGTCTGGAAGAGCTGAACCCAGGGATGCCCTTCACAGGGCAATTCACATTCAACCCAAGGGTCAGCTCTTCTGCCAGGGTCAGGAGCATCATTATTATTTTTTTCTCAGCCTTTTTCCTGGTTGCTTTTATAAACAGACAATCATTTATTTAACAGTGCCTTTTTAAAAGAGACTAGTAGGCCTATAAGGCCTAAAATTACCATTAAGTAGAATATTTTTGTACTTCACTTTGACCATGTCCATTATTATAGTGCGGTGACTCGACATTACAATGAACAAAGTAATTATGAAATTATGAAAATAAAAATAAAATAATAATAAGTTATTAAAACATCTAACATGGTCACCACAAACGCATTTAATTTGTCTTCAAGTTTTGCCAGCACTCTCTCCTGGCTTTTGCACACTTTGAGGTGTTCCCTGGCGTTTTAATTAAAGACTGAAATTCGGCATAACCTTGCATTAAAAGCGCTTGCTCTGCTTGGGAGAAAAACTGGGCGTGTTCTTTGGCCAAGCTGAACAGCCAATAGCAGCGCTGCTGATCACTGGTTCTGCTATCGATACATGTACCCTTTTAAACCAACGCGAGAACGCGCAGTTATCTCAGATAACTCAATCCAGCGATACTAATCATAAACAACAGGTGTGTTCGAAGAACCCAATTAGCCGGATCATGATTAGCACGATGATCTCATCTTAGATGTCTCATTTGATCTCGGATGTTTTAAGCAACGTACGAAGAACGAGCCCCTGATTTCCCCAAGGAGAGGGTCTATATAGTGGGTGAATGTATGGGCTTTTTCAGATCTTTCAATCCAATGGATAAAATAAGCTCTCACAATTTACTTATGAACGCGATTATGATAAAAACCTATGGAGAGCGCTTGCTCTGCTTGGGAGAAAAACTGGGCGTGTTCTTTGGCCAAGCTGAACAGCCAATAGCAGCGCTGCTGATCACTGGTTCTGCTATCGATACATGTCCCCTTTTATACCAACGCGAGAACGCGCAGTTATCTCAGATAACTCAATCCAGCGACACTAATCATAAACAACAGGTGTGTTCGAAGAACCCAATTAGCCGGATCATGATTAGCACGATGATCTCATCTTAGATGTCTCATTTGATCTCGGATGTTTTAAGCAACGTACGAAGAACGAGCCCCTGGTGTTAAAGGGACACTCCGACTTTTTGGGACTTTAGCTTATTCACCATATCCCCAGAGTTAGATAAGTCCATACATACCTTTTCCATCTCTGTGCGTGCCGTAACTCTGTCTGACGCACCCACTGCTAGCCTAGCTTAGCACAAAGACTGGATGTAAATGGATACAGCTAGCATACTAATCCCAAATAAGTGACAAAACATTTTCCTATTTACATGTTGTGATTTGTATAGTCATGGAGTGTACAAATAACAAGGTCATATGAGAAACAACCATCTTTTAACCATATAAATATTGGGAACTATATTCTCAGAAGGCGAAGCACTGCCACTTGGGCGGAGTGATTACCGCAGGACCTGAGACGCACCGCGGTGAGGAGCAGAGAGTTAGTTCGGAGTTGGAGTATAGAGTCAGCAATTACTAGATAGTAAAAGCATATACAAATCACATGTAAATAGGAAAATGTTTGCGTTATTTGTCACTTATTTGGGATTAGTATGCTAGCTGTATCCATTTACATCCAGCCTTTGTGCTAAGCTAGGCTAGCAGTGGGTGCGTCAGACAGAGTTACGGTACGCACGGAGTTGAAAAAGGTATGCATGGACTTATCTAACTCTGGGGGATGTGGTGAATATCCTAAAGTCCCAAAAAGTCGGAGTGTTCCTTTAAGATGCATTTTGGATGATTGGATCATAAGCAGACAGAGGGACACAAGCCCGTTTACATCTGGTGTTTTAATTTGTCGCTTTTGTTCACTTTCAACCACTTCTGTCCTGGGGCTCGTTCTTCGTACGTCGCTAACTCAGTTAGCTGGATTTGATTGTTGGCGATTTGCCATGATCTTGGATCGTTTGGTTCTTCGACGCTCATCCTGGACTTGCTGTCATAGCAACAGGTCCGTCAGCTTGAACCTGCTCGCGAGCAGGCTTATTTCATGTAAACAGGATTAGATAGATCGCGGCTGATACGGGAAGTCCTTCAGCGCAGCGCGATAGTGTGTAGCCTAATTTCTGAGATTTATTTTTGTTTTCTCGTGAAACGATCGTCGTGAGGGTGTCGTTTAAATACATTATTATTTTGTTGGAAATGCACATTAATGTTTGATTCGATGTCGGGCTTCAACAACAGTACAAAATGTTTGCATTGCCCTAAAATTATTTGCGAGTGGTTTCCTTTACACTATTGGAGATGCGGAGAACTTGATAAGCTTTCTGTCGTGCCATTCACAAAGTAGTGCTCTTAGTTTTTTTTTTTTGCCACAATGACATGAGCTTTGGCCAACTAAAGGGAAGATTTCAGGGTCTAAAAAGCCTGAGGGTTGCACCTGACAGGGCCTGTGACATTGCATGTGCCATATTACACAACACTGCCAACATCAGAAAAAAAAAAGTTTCATTAAGCCTAAAATAAAAGACAAGACAAATTTGCAAAAATCTATTTGCTTAGAGTTTTATTTCAATTGTTCTTTGTAAAGAAAAGCCAGTTCTTCCTCCAAAGGACAGTCATCTGAGAAGTTTTCTTCACTCTCCAGTGCAATGTGATTGATAACTCATGGCAAAATATTTTTACATTAACATAAGTTTATCAGTTTTTACTTTCAAAAGACAAAGCAATTTATCATTACTCAAGATTTAACAGCTGAAATGACTAAACCAGCCAATTTGGATTATAGGTCTACTTCATTTAATGCAGCAACAAATTATTTCATAGTGTACAAAGATAATTTAAATCTCATTTCCCAGTGATGAAGGTGTTGCTGCTACTGGTCCCTGATGTGTGTCTGGAAGAGCTGAACCCAGGGATGCCCTTCACAACAGGGCAATTCACATTCAACCCAAGGGTCAGCTCTTCTGCCAGGGTCAGGAGCATCATTATTATTTTTTTCTCAGCCTTTTTCCTGGTTGCTTTTATAAACAGACAATCATTTATTTAACAGTGCCTTTTTAAAAGAGACTAGTAGGCCTATAAGGCCTAAAATTACCATTAAGTAGAATATTTTTGTACTTCACTTTGACCATGTCCATTATTATAGTGCGGTGACTCGACATTACAATGAACAAAGTAATTATGAAATTATGAAAATGAAAATAAAATAATAATAAGTTATTAAAACATCTAACATGGTCACCACAAACGCATTTAATTTGTCTTCAAGTTTTGCCAGCACTCTCTCCTGGCTTTTGCACACTTTGAGGTGTTCCCTGGCGTTTTAATTAAAGACTGAAATTCGGCATAACCTTGCATTAAAAGCGCTTGCTCTGCTTGGGAGAAAAACTGGGCGTGTTCTTTGGCCATGCTGAACAGCCAATAGCAGCGCTGCTGATCACTGGTTCTG